GTGCATTATCTTACATATCATTTTATGTATGAGAACACAAAGTTATTCTGTTATAAAATATTTCAAATATACAGATGATCATGGTTATTAATTATTAGTCCACCATGTGGTACGTGGTACGATAGATAGTCTCAACTTATTCCCCCGTCTAACGTGAGAGACATTTTTATCCTTTGATGTTTGTTTTATTCTTTTTATGATTCCAACTCCTTAAAAAACATAGTTGCGTGTTGTTTGGCAACAGAGCAACCCTTAGCATAATTTTTCACGTGCTGTTAAAAGCATAGGCACTAACCCACATAAACCTCAGCGCTGCCAAAGCCTTATCTATTTGGTCAGATTCTATTTCTTGACTTACATCTCGATTGTACGCAAACTTTTCTTGTAAAGAACGTTGGAGTGTTCCTAAATTGTTGACAAATTCCCTGTTATTTTCTGTTCCCAAGTCTAGATCCCACTGTTGGCGCACGTAGGGTGGAAATTGATCTTCTAGTGCCTTAATGCCATTTTAATTCAGATTCCTTTGCAATGATAATCAGACATTATTCCCTCAAAAACTTTTTTTCCCCTTTATTTTATCATATGTATTGAGCGTACAAATATTGTCTTAGGGTTACATATATTGCCCCTGCCACTTCCTCCCCCCTGCTTCCCTTGTCAAAACATCAAAGCGTGTCCAGGTGGATGCACTGCCACCTATTTTGTACATAGATACTCACCCAGCCCCATCTGCCACACAATAACAAAGTTTCCTTTTGTTTTTCTTTTTTGCCCTTTGCGTTACAGTTGTACAGTCTTCTGCCTCTCCCTAGCGAGGGTTACAAAGGTATTTCCCCCCCTATGCTCCGAGGCCGCAGTCAGAAGCATTCATATATGCCAATAAACCATCAAGCAGAAATTCAAACAAAAACACAATACCCTTTACTATAGCCCCAAGGAAAATTAAATATCTAGGAGTATACTTAATGAAAGATATGAAAGATTTATACAAGGAACTATGAAACACTAAAAAAGAAATGCAGATGATTTGAACAGATGGAAAAATCTACCTTGTTCATGAATTGGTAGAATCAATATAATTAAAATGTCAATATTGCCTAAAGTGATCTACAGAATTAATGCAATCCCCATCAAAATACCACCAGCATATCTTTACAGATCTAGAAAAAATAATTCTGCACTTTGTATGGAACCGAAAAAACCTCATATAGCCAAAGCAATCTTAATTAAGAAAAAACTGGGAGGGCATCAGTCTTCCTGACTTCAAGTTATACTATAAAGCAATAATAGTTAAATCAGCCTGGCACAAGAACAGAAGCATCGCGATATCTAGAATAGATCTGGGATACCAGAGATGAACCATCATTATACAGCAAGCCTAATCTTGATAA